TTGTGGCATCATCACTCTTCTGCAAGTCTAAGTCATGCAACAAGATTTAAATCTAATTCTTTGTTAATGAAAAGGCACTAAAAAGACTAGGAACACCTAGTAAAAATAAATTTTCAATTGCATTATAAGCTAGGCTTATGTTAGTTCAAGATATTTGACCCTGGCAATCCCCTTCACTAAATGAGACATCAGAAGCCAGGCTGGCAAACCCTGTACTTAAAACCAGTAGCTAGTCTCTGGTAAGGAAAAACCCACCAGCTCACTGTGTGATTTTTTTATTGTGCTTTGTTCCTAGAATTAAGAGAAAAAAGAAATGAAAAAGAAACTACGTACACATATCTATACAAACACCGATTGCTACTTTGGCCTTTAAAAGCACTTCAAGTACTATACACCCTCCCCATTCAACACATGAAAGGAAACAAGTGGATTCTACTTATCCTATTTATTCTGATGAGCCTATTAAAACCCAACATGCTAAAAGTGAAGGTAGGCTCTTGAATACTGATAGGGGTGAGCTGCAGATAGCAATTTCCTTCCCCCCCACACACCTCTACTCTTTCACAGATCCTAATGCACACTTTGCACTTGTCTGCCTTCCTAAATTGATTTGACTCTGGCACTCCTCATAACCCTACAAAGAGACCTGCTTCAGCGCAAACATGTGGCTATCTTACTATGCCACGCATGTAGGAACAGTGCCAGGATAAAATCATTGGCAAGAAATTGCTTTTTTAATGACTTCCATAAAAAGCAGCATTCCAAAAAGTTCATCTCCTACAACAACCCTTAGAGGCAGGTTGCATGATACAATTTTGGGTGCAGACTAAGAAGACCAGACTGGAGATCAGAACAAAGCACAAGGATTAAATGAATTAGCTAAATCCCCAGTACAAATGTGACTTCAGCCTTCATACTCAACTGCATACCCTCAGGCACACTATTCTCCTAGATTCAATACTTCACCTTTAAAATGGGGATAATATCCAGCCTTCAGAGACACTGTACATGTGTAGTACTTTGGAACAGTGACACAAAACATCTATGAACAATCAAGAGTTGATAGCACAATTTACCATGCAGAAGTGGGTACCCTGGTAGATAAAGAGCCAAGTAAAACTAGAAATGTAAACTCTCGCTTGTTTCATTTCCACACAAGATAAAACAGAACTGCAAAATTATTGCCCCGACTACAGAAGAGGCTGAAGCATTCATTCTTTACATGAGCAGATGGAAGGTTTTGCGCAAAATTGCACACGGTAACACAATTAATGTAAGATTTTGAAATAACAATGATACTTCATTGCATTGTCTTTTGAGAAGTAGATGTATTGGAAGATTATTTATTTTTTCAAATACCTGTACATTGAACTAAAAATATTATCAGCCAAGAAGTCTAAAATTGCTGTGCATGTGGGTTCTCTGCTTTTCAAAGAAAATGGGCACTAGTTTTACACAGAGACAGTCTACACAAATTATGGAAACCTTAGGGAGGGACTTTTTTTAACTTCCTGTTTAAGATGATGAATCTTCCATGGCCTGAACATTTCTGTTGGAAGTGTCTCATCAAGTTGAGACTGCCTAAATTGACAGGAACAAATAATTTGCAAATATTCTTCACAGCTCTACATGAATCCTTTCACAAAGGATTTTTGGCAATGATTCCTTGTCACCTGAGACATAAAAAAGGAACATGTGTGGGTGGGATCTTTCTGTTTGCTGTTTTCAATGTCATCCTCTTCTCTGTAGAGGTTACTCAAGATTTATATGATTCATCAGCTGGCAAGTTCCAATTTCAAATGTGCTGTACAAGACAAAGGCTTTGAAGTATATAACTTTCAATTTAAGCCTTTTAAAAAGGAGTTCTGGTGGTTCACTCCACATGCCACTTCACTCCCAGGGTGCAGACTAAAAGCATATGACATGGCAACCTTCAAAAAGCTGACCAGGTCCAAACTTGACCTGAGTGACAGTCTTCCCCTGAAGCTTCAAAAGTGTTACGTGGAGTCCCATTAGGTAAGAAAAGCGGAAAGGAAAAGAAGATAAAGGTGGATGAAAGAACATAAAGAACTTGGAGGTTCGAAGCAACCAAGAATTGGACTCCATCAGTAACCCCTGGAAGACAACACCCAGGGATTTCTAAGCCACCCAACTGCTGAAACTAAAGGTGTTTCTGGCCATGCTACCTGGAGAATTCTAGCTGGTGAAGCCCAAAAACACCATTTGCATTCCCTCTAAAATAGAAGTGTGTCATTGTGTGACAGATGGATGCAAGGGTCTCCAACATGAAGGCGACTTGAAGAGTGGGACAAATGATATGGAGCCAACCACACACTTTAGCAAAAGAAGCAGAAACACATGCATTTCTCCAATACCCCAGGCTCTTCCCTGTCTCATCACCCAAAGGAGAACTCTATTCTCCAAGGATAACTACAGAAGGGTTTTGTACAAGCCTGTATCATGGTTCAGTGGAGGAAAACAAACAGAAACATGCATGGTGTCAAGGGAAAATGGCTTCAGCTACTCTTTCCACTTCCATATGGAGACTGCATTTCTGACTTAAGTGATTAAGTTATGTCAAGAGGGCTAGCTGGGGAGAGGAATGCTCCCCCAGATAATTTCACCCTTTTCCAGTAACAACACTCCAGCCATATTTATTGATGTTGAATGGATAGAAGTTGTATTTCCCCACTGCTACCTTTCGTCAGTGTAGATTTCTCTTCTTAGGCATCCAAATCTAACCTTTACTAGAAAACAGAAAGCTCAATAAGAAAGATTGACTAGGGTTGCAAACTACACAGAGGCTTCTCGGTACAAGAAGCCATTTTTAATGATGCATCAACAAAAGCAGATTATTCCTTCCCTCATCCAGTGAAAGATAGCTGACTTACACAGTCTTCACTAGCAAGATATGTAGATCCTGTAACGGTGAAGGCTAGTGACTCAAGACCTGAAGGGGCCATGAATCTGCTCCAGATCTTCATCCAAACTTTACAGGACCTATCCAAGGTGCTGGAAACTACATAAAACTTTAGACACCCTGGACTGTGTTCGATAAATTTCAAACTAAAACCTGGAGTCATCCATTTCAACCACCTGCTAGTTTTATTGGTCCATAGCTTCAGCACCTAACAGGTATATGCATGCCAACGCTTGAGTACAGAATGGATGGGTGGATGGGGAGAACCTTAATGGAAGATAAATATAGCAACTGGAAGCAAACATCACAACGATCAATATTTAAAAGCCTAGGATCATTACTAGCAAGGCAAGGCAACCAAAGCGTTCTCCAGGAGAGTCTTAGCAAAATCTCAACTGTCTGAAGTACCCAAACACACACAGACCACACACACTTCCATTAGGAGGCAGGGAAAACATTGCCAGGCAATCTGGGACATGAAACAGCTACCCAGGTTTTTTTTTCCTCTTCCAAAAGTCCAACAATTATATATTTCATTTCAGAAGTTTACTAAGGTAGAAAAGACAGCTGGAATCAAGTGGAGGAATTCAAGGTTATAGCCATTTCTTCAAATATGTGCAAACCCTCTAGGAAAGCCTTACAAATAATAGAAGCTTGTTACAACATCAAACACAACTTCCAATTCCATACAGGAGCAAAAAAAAAGTTATCCTGAACACAAACACACTCAGGTCATTTGAACCTTTGCAAAAATTGGGGCAAAACATAAGTTCCTTGGTGACCATCATACAAACTCTCAATAGCCAAACTGGCCCATCGTAGAAGCAGTTCTTCACTTCCCTGAATTAAGAGGCAGTTATCTAAAACAACGATGTACAATACCCCAAATCTGTTTTTTAATCACCCATTTAGAAGGTACAGAATGACTAAGAAATATAACAGGACAAAACACTTACCAGAAAGTCTTTTATCAAGTCAGATTTTCCCATCAGATCACGAACAACCGAGAAGTTTTTTTTAAAAAAAGGCACACAAAATCCCCTATCATGTCACAGTCCTTGTGAAAATATGAAGTTGCCTGTTCTGCTTAACTTCTACATTCATAAGAAATCAAGCAGTATTCTACAGCAAACAGTATTTGCAATAAAATTAGTAATTTATCTCCCCTACCCTTTGACCAAATGATTCCAATAATGGAGTTGGGGTGGGAAGTCAACCAGAGATTAGGAAGTGTTTTAGCTACTTCAAATGAGTGTCTTTTGTAACTAAAACTAGTAGTAAAGCAAAATCAATGTTCTCTGCCCTCATGTACTCCACCTTCATCCCTGCTTCCCCCTTCATGCTTACTTTTTCCTTTTGTAACAAACATTAACTAGCTTTTTAAAAAACAGTCTCCAAAGTAACAATTTGGCAATGAAAAGCAACTTGTTAACAAATGTGCTGTTTGGATACCCCATCCACACAATTCAAAATTGACACAGTACCCAACAACTGTAAACAAATTTCTTTACAGGTAAACAATCCAACATGAAAAAGAAAACAGTCCTCCAAAACAAGAGAGAGAGAGAGCTCAAAACTTTCTATGCTGCAAATTTCCCTTGGCAGGCTTGGCCAAACCCATTCAAATCTTCAACCAACACAAAACCGGCCCTGAAAAGCAACACAGATTGTCTTGCTCAGAGGAAAGGCAAAGCTCACCAGGGACCTCAGACATCTTGGCCTGCACACTCCAAACTCTGAAGCAGCATAGTCCCAAACCAGCACCATGCCAGAACTGGTGAGGCAGCTTAGGCCTATCCAGGCGCCGACCCACACCACCACCAACAAAACACAAGCTCGCACACCCAAGCTTCTTTTATGGGTTTGTGTGTTCATTCCACCTTCTGAACACTACTAGATTTCTCTCGCCAGCAGCAAAGAAGTTAATGGATTTTGACAAGGAAGGGGGGGGTTTCCAGCTGACCCCTTTGCTAGCCACCTCATGGCTCCTCTCCCTCCCAGATTCCCATCGCAGCCTTAAACAACCCATGAAAGGAAAACACAACACACACACACACCACCATCTTCTGATCTCTCTTACCTCTAAGGCTTCCATGGTACTGAAGCTGGCAATGGCAAATCCATCAATTAAATCTTCTTCCTGGGAACTGGATTCTCGCCGCCGCCTCCTCGGAGGTCTGGCATTCCTGACAGCAGAAGCCTGGCTTTTTGGGTTGGGGCAGTTTTGGCTTGTATTTTCCTTGCCCGGGCTTCGTTCCCTTTCCGAGGTGGAGGAAGGGCTGTGATTTGGACGGTCCCGGCCATTGGGGTCCCTCCTTCTCACGCGGTCCCTTTGGGAGCGAGATTTCCTGCTCTGTCTGATTTTACCATCCATTTCCGAAAGAAAAAAATTTATTATAATATCCCAGATTTTTTTTAAAGGATTTCAGAATCCGAGCGATGTTGGGGGGGGGTGAGGCCCCACAGATACACGCCTCCCTACTAATCCAGGCTGGGTCTCTCTCCCTCTCTCTCTTTAAGGGGCTCTTTCCTCCAGGCTTATAAAATCCAAAGGAAGAGAAGGGGGGGGCAGAATAGAAGAGAAATATAATCCAACAGACCTCTATGGAGAAGCACCAGTGATCCGATGGAGGGCAGAAACAACACGGGGAGGATTGGTTTGGAGGGGAAAGAGATCCAGAAGGCGAGGAAGAGGGAAGGAGAGGGGGAAAAAATCTAAAATCCACGAAGTGACCTTGAGAAATCTTCCCCCTCCCTTGCAAAAAAAAATGTAATGAAAATTAA